TCATGGGCATCAGATGAGGAGGTGTGGTAGCAGGTCACTGTCAAGTGTTGCTATTCCAGTGAGTCAGAGGCTTGCAGAATTGTTCTAATTCCAGGGAGTGGGTCACCCTGTCCTTCCTTCCCCTCAGTGCTGGCTGAGCTCAGCAACCTGCTCCCTTCCTGTAGTTGCAGTGTCTCCAGGGCAAAGAAAAAGAAACCTTTATTGTTCCTTTTTGAATCACCAGATGGGAAATGAATCATACTGTCCTCAGGTTATGTTTGCGCCTGACAGCATTGCATTGAGCTACCTGATCTTCTGAAATTTGCTGGACTTGAGTCTCCATGGAGGAGAATTTAACACTTTTGAACATGTCTGTTATTTCAAAAGCCCTAGTGCCTTGAGCCTGCCATTTACCAGGAGCACAAGCTTTGAGATGAGTGTTGTGGATCTGCTGGGTAGGTCTAAAGGAACCTCTTGCTGGTGATAGGAACTTTGTTGCTGCTTATGTCAGATTAGGTGTTGGAATGAAAACCAGTAGCTGATCAGGGGAACAGCTAGGAGTATGGGAATTATGGAGTAGTGGAGGTAGGTTTTATAAGCAGAGGCTCACAGTTTCTAGAAATGGGAAAGAGAGAGAGCAGATTGACCTTTCTGGAATTCGTAATAGCAAAGTAAAGAGGGCCCAGGGACTTCCTGTTAACTAGTTAAGTGTGATGTGGGATCTTTGCTGGTTTGCTTGGTCCAATTCCTCTTTCTCTTGGTTTCTTTTTTTCTCTTCTCTGCCTTTTCTTCCCCTTACCCCTTTTCTTTCCAAGAGAATTGAACCATTTTATACAAAAGAAACAGCAAGTATTTATACCTTCCCAAATCCCCTGTCATTGTCAGTATATTTATATACTTTTGCACATAGTTGTTTGTAGTTAGTGTTTTGGGATCTTTTTTTTTTTTTAAATAAGTTTATGTAGACTTTTCCTTGTTTGAACTCAGCTTATCAACTTGTTCGGATTCCATTGTTTACTGTCGTTTGAGCAGTCCTATCCTTTGTTGTTAGGCTGTGTGGCTTTTTTTTCTCTAATGTCATCGTATAGCTATTTATTATTTTGATTCAGATTACTATTAATATTTCTTGGGCTGGTTGGTTAACTCAGTTGGTTGTAGTGGGGTGTTACAACACAAAGGTTGAGGGTTCAGATCCCTGTACTGGCCAGCTGCAAAAAAAAAAAATCTTGATGTATATTTCCCAGAGTGGAATCTTTTGGGATTTTTTTTTTTCTTTTGTTTTTTTTTGGGGGGGGAGGGAGAAGGGGAGTTTCTTATTGTTATAAGAGGTTGAAGTCTAGAAAGGCTCTACATTTACGGTTTAGCCCCCAATTTTCTAGAGATTCTAATGGTTCCTGAAAAGAAAAAAGGATTCAAGTGTACAGGTCAGCCAGACTAAGTCTGGACATGTAGCTTTTCAGAGTGAAGAGAATTGTTTCCATTGTTGCAAAGTAGCCTCTGGGTGCCACACTACATGGCCACTCCCTTGAGAAACAGTGACTAGGCCACAGGATGGACACAGCCTGCCTCCCTTGGCACCAGTCTGCCTGTTAAATGCGGTAACCAATCCTTTTAGGAGCATCTATCCTCACACTCTATACAGATGGTACTTTCAGCCCACGTGGAGGGCTGCCAGGGGTGGGGTAAGACTATTTTTCCTTCAAAGTAAAATTGATAAATCATGTTTTGAGTTTAGAAAACTGTTGAAGTAGTAGATAGCAGATTACTTTTTGGAGTTTTGTTAAAATTTTTTGGTGGCTGGCTGGCATGGGGATCTGAACCTGTGAACTTAGTGTTACTAGAACCACGCTCTTCCAAGTGAGCTAACTGGCCCACTGTTTGTTTTTTGTTTTTTTTTAACGGCATATTGTTGGCAGTGTGCGTGAGACCTTTTCCTTCCTTCCTTTTTCCCTTTTTTTTTTATTCTGGATATTTTTACTCTAGTTATTTATTAAGAATTTAGTATTTCCCAGGCCCTGAAGCTACAGCAGTAGAAAAGATAACTGTGACCCTGCCCCTGGGGCCAGGGTTTGGCCTTTCATGGGGCTGGGAGGACAGAATTAGGGGCCGGTAGGCAGGAGCAAGGTGGAAGAGGGGTGGGCCTGAGGGGAGACTGGCACAAATAAAGTACTGTGAAAAAAAGGAGAATGCCGATGTGGGCATCAGTAGTAGCTGGCTTTCCTTCCCCATTTTCTATTTTTAAGAGAAGCAAAAGGCCTTGTTACTCAGGCAAAACTATGTTCTCCAGAGCATACAGTTATTATTGAATAAAACACAGTTAATGATCAGATTTAATCACTGTTGTGCAGCTTGATCGTTAGGTGCAAATGGCAGAAAGCTTACCTACGTTACTACAGCTGGTCACCTTTGCAACTGATCACACTTGTCCTTGTCTTTGCCCTGCCCCACCTATAAGCAGCATGGGGTGCCTGTGGTGTGTCCTGATGGCCCCACATGCCCACCACCTGTCTAGAGGCTCTGGGACCCTTTACTGTACTTCTCTCTCCTTTGGGCAGGCCAGCACTCTCATCCCAGTGCCCTCTTCTCCTCTGCTGCCTGAGTACTAAGAGGCTGGAGACTAATCTCCTGGTCCTCAAGGGTGTGCAGCACAACTGTTCTTTCTTAAAAGTCTGAAAATGGAGTCAATGTGGACAAGCCATTAGAAGGCCTAAGTGGGGCATATTCTGCAGCTGGCAAAGCCTGCCTTGGCCCCTTGGTAAGAGGACGCACAGCTGGACAGCCTTACACTATCTCTGTGACTATCCCATTTCTGGTTTGTCATATTGTCCCCTTGATCTAGAGGCCCTCCTCCTTCCCCATCCCAAACTCATCTGTTGAGGGTCCTCCTCTAAGAAGCCTCTCTGTGCACTGTTCTCTCCACGTGCCAACTGCCTGCATTCGCATTCTTCTGGACTGTGCTTGCACCATACAGCTCATCGGCGTTCTTGCAGAGTAGAATGTATCTGACTTGGAGTCAACAACAGGTCTCATTTTCCATATATTCCGCTGTTTTCTGAGCGTTCTTGTACATCATTAAGCCTCAGTCAAAACACAAGTACAATTGTTATCTAGCATTTGAGTGATTGCCACTTGGCAGGCATTGTGTTGTGTTCTTGTTTAACTTCTGATAATTGATCCCATTGTATAGTTAATCCCATTACTAAATCTAAAGGCAATAGAAGGTTCAGAAAACACATGCTGAGCAAACCATGCATTATATTATCCCAAAAGACAACAAAGAAAATGTAACTAGGTGCCTAGAGGAAATTCAGGAAGGATATGTACCAGTATATTACCATGGGGTGAGACAGTAATATATGGTACATACATATTTCTTCTTCTTTAGTCTTTTAAGGATCGTTTCTTATACTTCTCTGTCCCCCTGGATACCTGTGTCTGGGTAGAGCATACGGAAAATACTTAGTAAATAAATACAGGTTGAGGTAGAAAACTAAGGTCTTTTTTTTCCTTGGCCCAGTTTGGCCTGATTTGGCTCCAGTGTTGTAGTTCTGTCTTTGTGATTTTATTAGTTGTTGATGCTGTGCTGCTGTTCATCTGGAAACTTCCCCAAGTGGGCTGCCCGTACACTGCCAGAGCAGAAGCCTCCAGGGATGGAGGATGAGCTTGTTATGTTGTGAGACTGTATTTCCCTGGCTGGTGACAGCTCAGCTCTTGCAGCAGGCAATGGAAGTTGATCGGCCAACTTATTTCCTTCAGCCGAGCAGAATCTTGAGTAGGCTGGGGACAGCCTATTTGCTTGGCGACTCACATGCAGCTGATGCAGGCTGGTTAGGCGCCTTTCCAGCTGTTCTGCTCTAAAGTGGAGCAGCTTGGGACGGCCTGGCTTAACTAAATTCCAGTTAGTGCCCTTCTTGCTGCTCTCTGCACAAGGCCACCAGGCCTCTAACAAGTAAGAACGGCTGGTCTCGGGGCACCTTGTGGTCATGTGGAATCTGTGTTGCTTGCTAAGCTCAGAGATGTTATGCTGATACTTTTTTTAAAAAAACTTTTATCAGTTACATTTTCTTTATGTTTTTGGTATCTTTTTTTGTTTTTGACCGGTAAGGGGATCACAACCCTCCGCACGGTGTGTTCTGCACCAACGCTCAGCCCGTGAGCGCACCAGCCATCCCTATGTAGGATCCGAACCCGCGGCTTCAACCAGCACCACACTCTCCTGAGTGAGCCATGGGGCCGGCCCGGTATCTTTTTATTTTGATATAATTTCCAACATAGAAAATTTGTGAGACAAGTGCAAAGAACTCTTACATACCTTTTACTCAGATTCATTAACAATCAGCATTTTGCCCCATTTGATTTCTTACTTATGGATGTTTCCACCCATATATGCGTGTACACACATACACTCCTTCTGTACCATCGGAAGGTAAGTTGCAGACAGCGTACCCACTTTACTTCTGATTACCGTGGTGTATTTCCTAAGAATAAGGACATTCTCTTACATAATCACAATCCAATTATTAAAAAACAGCGAGTTTGATACGATGCTATTACCTAATCCACTGTCCATATTCAAATTTTGTCCATATTCCAATATGGTTCCAGTAACGGCAGAACTTTATTTAATTAATTAATTAATTTATTTTATTTTATTTTTTTCCCCTTTTTGTCTTTTTTCGTGACCGGCAACGGATCGCAACCCTCAGTGTCGCGCCCTTACCGGACCGGGACCGGCCACGGGATCGCAACCCTCGGTGTTGCTCCCGCCCCTCGCTCAGCCAGTGAGCGGCCGGTCTGTATGTGGGATCCGAACCCTCGGCGGGAGCGCCACCGCACTTCCCAAGCGGCGCACTACAGCAGTGTGCCACCGGGCCGGCCCCAGAACTTTATTTTTTAAGAAAACAATCCTGGGATGCATGGGTGTCTCCTTGGTTACACAGACTCAGGAGAACAGAACCAGCAGGTGTTTGGGGAAGTGACTGCCATAGATGCCGCATCAGCATCTCCTTGTGTTTCTACAGGACCAGAGGAGTGAGAGCAGCAAGAACCACACTCAGCCACAATGTCAGCAGATGTGGAGACCTCAGAGGGGGTAGATGATTCAGAGGAGAAAAAGAACTCCAGTGCCTCAGAAAAGGAAAACTACACCAGGTGAGGTATGGGGGGTGGCTGCCAGGTGGGCCCAGTGCCTGCTGTGCCCAACACACATGTTTTTGTCTGCTGGTGACACCAGGGAGTGGGCGTGGCCATAAGCTGTGGACCTGGGATGCCGGGTTGGCACTGCAGGGACCGTGTACAACCTCCTTATTGCTCTCCTCGCTGGTTCTATTCCATTATCTTACCCAAGGAGGCAGGGCAGGTGCTGCTGGGAGCCCTGAGTAAGTTGTCCTTGACCTTTTTTCTTCTTAAAGACCTAGGAGTTTTTTTCATTTGGGCTGAGAAAATGTAGTCCTTTCACAGTGTCTTCCACCCCTAAGACATGGGAGCAGTACAACTCTAGGACAGGCTTTTTCTTAGTGTTCAGGGCCCAGTCACTCAGCTCAGATTACTGGGCTGTGTTCTACATTGTTCTTAGCCTCTCATTATTGCCCCGTCATTGGCAAAGTTTATATCTTGAAATAATTGCTAACGATAAACTGATTCTCAGCACATGAGTGACGTAAGCTAAGCTCCTAAAGAAGCCAGCAGAAGCCAGCAGAGGCTGGACCATGAGAGGACTGAGTTTTTCCTATACTCTAGTTGATGGGTTGTGTGGACACACATGAACCTCTGCCCAGGTGCCACCATCTTTAGGATCATTTGTTTTCTACCATGTCGATTGGTCAGCATAACTTTATCCTGCGTAATTTTTTTTTTTTTTTTTTTGCGGCTGGCTGATACAGGGATGGAACCCTGGACCTTGGTGTTATCAGCACTATGCTGTAACTAGCTGAGCTAACTGGCTAGCCCCTTATCCTATATAATTTTGTTAAGCAGTACAAACCCAGGGTCCTGGCCTCAATCTCTTGGTTGTCTCCTTTTCATCCACTTGCACCTTGGCCCAGCTACATACAGTTTTGAAGAGGCTGTGTGTCTGAGGTGGGAGGAAGGCAGCTGGGCTGCCCCAGGAAATCCATGGTCACAGCCTTTTACAGTGTCATGGATTCTGGAAGACATGTTCCTGAAAGACAGTCCTCCCTGGAGAAGACTGCAAGCACTGGTGGGATTAGAGATATGTGTTTCTTCGGCCACTAGGTGGCCATAGAAGCAAAGGCATTGTTCATTAGGGTGGTTCCCAGCAGACACGGGCACACGGACACGGATACTCTTTTTTTTTTTTCCTTTGTCTTTTTTCGTGTCCGGCAACGGATCGCAACCCTCAGTGTCGCGCCCGCGCCGGACCAGGACCGGCAACGGGATCGCAACCCTCGGTGTTGTGTCCGCACCTTGCTCAGCCAGTGAGCGGGAACCAGTCTGTATGTGGGATCCGAACCCTCGGCGGGAGCACCACCGCGCTCCAAAGCGGCGCACTGTAGCAGTGCGCCACCGGGCCGGCCCCAGACACGGATACTCTTGAGTAGGCCACAGTCATCCTGCGTGTCCTGAGTCTATGGAGCAGACTGTCACATCTGCTTGCCCAGTAGTCCTAGTCCCTGATGAGGCCCTGACATTCATGCTGGAGTGACGTGTCAGAGCAGCCCTTGCCTCCAGGCCAGCAGTGGTCACCCTGGAGTCTGGACTCGGCTTTTTGTTTTATGTTCCTTTCCAGGGAGCTGGGAAGATAATTCTCACACTCACACACGCAGTCACATACACATCCCGTCTCTCCACAGAATGGCTGACCTCTCTGAACTCCTGAAGGAAGGGACCAAGGAAGCACATGACCAAGCAGAAAACACCCAGTTTGTCAAGGACTTCTTGAAAGGCAACATTAAGAAGGAGATATTTAAGGTTTGTGCCCTCAGTCACAGACGAGGTTGGGCTCCAGACTTTCATACCAGCTCAGGATGGGGGCCTTGGTCCCATGAGAAAGGTCCCCTAGAGCTGCTCTGAGGGAGAAGCTGGGCCTTTTTCCACACTTCACTTTTTTTTTTTTTTCCTTTTTGTCTTTTTTTGTGACCGGCAACGGATCGCAACCCTCAGTGTCGTGCCCGTACCGGACCAGGACCGGCAACGGGATCGCAACCCTCGGTGTTGCGCCCGCACCTCGCTCAGCCAGTGAGCGGCCGGTCTGTATGTGGGATCCAAACCCTCGGCGGGAGCGCTGCTGCGCTCCCAATCGGCGCACTGTAGCAGTGTGCCACCAGGCTGGCCCCCACACTTCACTCTTTTCTTGATGTTTAGCTACGACTCTCATAGCTTAAACAGAATAAAAGTGATATAAAGGAAGCAAAAGTATCTGTGTTCCAACAAATTCACCATGTCTTTCCTTTAAGAAACATAAAAGCTTCCTGCATGTGTTCAATAATTCACTTTATAAAAGTGGGTCACGGGATTGGGTCTTTGGGGATGGGTGGGGGGTTGTTGCTTAAGTCTTGGTCTGTAGCCGCTTGGAATGTGGTGGGCTGGGGAGTTGTCAGCCAGTCCCCAGCCCTTTCCCATGGTCTGCTCCCATCTCCCTCCACAGCTGGCCACCACGGCACTCTACTTCACATACTCGGCCCTTGAGGAGGAGATGGACCACAACAAGGACCACCCAGCCTTCACCCCCTTGTACTTCCCCACAGAACTACACCGCAAGGAGGCGCTGACCAAGGATATGGAGTATTTCTTTGGTGAAAACTGGGAGGAGCAGGTGCAGTGCTCTGAGGCCACCCAAAAGTACGTGGATCGGATTCACTACATAGGGCAGAACAAGCCAGAGCTGCTGGTGGCCCATGCATACACTCGATACATGGGGGACCTCTCGGGGGGCCAGGTGCTGAAGAAGGTGGCCCAGCGAGCACTGAAACTCCCCAGCACAGGGGAAGGGACCCAGTTCTACCTATTTGAGAATGTGGACAATGCCCAGCAGTTCAAGCAGTTCTACCGGGCCAGGATGAACGCCCTGGACCTGAACCTCAAGACCAAAGAGCAGATTGTGGAGGAGGCCAACAAGGCCTTCGAGTACAACATGCAGGTACTGTGGGAGGCTGGCCCCAGGCCAAGCTCTGCCAGGCTGCACAGGGAGCCTATGACAGTGGGTGCCAATCCAGAGCTGCCCTAGTGGGTATCGGTGGCATTAGGACAGATGGGCTGCAGTGTGCCTAGGGACAGGCGAGGGAACCAGCCTGGTGCCCAGAGAGTGTGGGCCCAGGGGATGGCTCCCAGCTTGGAAGGCTTGTCCTGATAGATGCCTGTGGGTAGTGTTTTGGGGAGGGTGAGGGCCCCAGAATGTAGAGGGGCCTGGGAGAAGGGAGCTGTCTCCCTTCTTCTCACCACAGGATGCTGGTCTTGAAGGATTGGTCATTTTCTCCTTTTTGGCAAGGAATGCTATGAAAAGTCAGTTTCACCAAGGATGGTCAGGAGAGCAACATTGTTTACAAGTAGCCTTTAGAAGGGACCAAGCCTTTGGAGGCTGATTCTCTTCTCAGCCCAAGGGAAAGTGGCCATAGGCGGGTGAAGTGCCAGGCTGAGCACAGACCCTGTCAGCCATCCACTGTGGCCTCCCAGGGCCACTCAGGATAGGTCTGCCCTGCTGGGGTCTCATTGTCCAACATTCCTATTTTGCAGCTGTTACTTACTAAAATCACCACCAGCAGCTAGGATTGGGGAAGTACTAGTGCCCTCTCCTGTCTGTGCCCTGGTGGTTTCAGTTGCTCAAGCCACCTCAGAGAAGGCCAGGCATGGGATGTGTGTCTGGTCCATCCCAGGGAAGACCCCTGTGGCTGGCAGCCTTGGGGTGCCAGCAGCACAGGTGCGGCCACATTGCCTCAGAGTGCGCACCAGGGAGATGTAAGGAGCACGGCTGCTGCCCGCTGGAGCTGCTTGCTCAGCTGCTTGGCACACCTGCTCCAGCCCTCTCTGTACGGGGTGCAGGGGAGAGAGATGCTGCTCTGATGGCTCAGCTGATCCTCTGTTTCTCCAGATATTCAATGAACTGGACCGGGCTGGCTCTGCACTGGCCAGAGAAACGCTGGATGTTGGGCTGCCTGTGCACGACGGGAAAGGAGATGTGCGTAAATGCCCCTTCTACGCTGCTGCACAGGACAAAGGTAGGTGTGCATGTCCCAAGCTTCCCTCCTGGGGCAGGTGTATCAGTGGCCTGCACTGATGCTATGTCTCCTGTTGGTGCTGCCACGCAGGTGCCCTGGTGGGCAGCAACTGTCCCTTCCGAACACCAATGGCTGTGCTGAGGAAGCCCAGCCTCCAGTTCATTCTGGCTGCCAGCGTGGCCCTGGCTGCAGGACTCTTGGCCTGGTACTACATGTGAAGCACCCATCCCACCATGCTGGCGCCCTCTTCCCGAATGACCACTAGCCCACCCCCATCTCCACCCCCGACTGAACTACCACCTCAGGTGACATTTTTTTTAATGCTGGGTTTGAGAAAAAGCAACCAATAAAAGCCAGACACTAGAGTCTCTGCCTGACGGTGTCCTCTCTATGGGCCAGATGCTGTTGCCCAGGGAGCAACTGGCACGGCATGGCGTGGTGTGGTGGGTGGGCAGGCCTGGACCTCTGAACCAGCTGTGCTGTGGGACTCCCACACCTCTGACCCCAGAATTTGGGTGGCTAATAATCCCAGGCTCTTTGGGAGGGGGGCCTTACTGGATGCTGCTGCTCAACTTCTAGGCTGCTCCTAGGGGTGAGGGGTTGTTATGGGCAGAAGTCAGGCTCTCCCTCAGCCTCAGAGGCCCTGGGAGCTTGCCTCTCTCAACCAGAACCCGAGAGGCCTGTGTCATTGCTATAGCACTCACTAAAGTGCACCCTTGCAAGCTTCCTGCCTCCTTCCTGGCACAGGTGGGTAGGTCAAGCTACCTCCTGGACCCTGTTAATGCACAGGGGAGGAGAGCCTCTCAGAAGCAAGGGTGTGCTGTCGGGGGCGGGGGGGAGGGGATACACTCCTTCATGTCAGCCCCCGGCAGCCCTTCCTGCCCTCGAGTGCTCCCCAACACTGCTGGTCACCTCCAGACCCCTCATCCCCAGGGCAAAGTCTCACAAAGATCCTTGAAGTTAAGCTGGTCCTGTGATTTTCTAACTCAGAAATTACTTTGGAGGTTTTTATGCTTAAAAAAAAGTTTTATAAATAAGGATAAAAAAGCATAGACTTGTATTTAAGGAATTCAGTGTCTAAGATAGAAATGTGAACTTAAGTATTTTTATTAATAGGAATCTATTCAAAAATGGGTTAAACGGTGGGGAAACTCTTAAGTTAGTGGGCTCGGAGATGGGCAAGGCCAGCACTGGCCCAGAATCCGGCTGCCCAGGCTGCATCCTGTTGCTCTTCAGAACATACGCGTCAGCCCAGCAGCTCCATCGTGCTTAAGGGAGGGAGAGCACTTGCCCACAGGGCAGGATGACACTGAGCTCCAGTCTGGGGAGCTCCAGCGTGCAGATCCCACAGGGATCTGTGTACACAGCTGAAACTAGTGTCAGAGGAAGTAAGGTGACCTTATAGCCACTGCTGAAGCCAACTCATGCCCTGGCTGGATCACACCTGGGATTCCTATGGCTGGTCTACCCTTGACTCTGGTTTGGTTTGATCAGTCCCTTAAGTGTTAGCACTGTCCTTGGGCAGTTGGCTCCACGTAAGCTCTGAGGCATGTTGAGACCCTGAAGACCCCTGCCCTGCCTGTGGCCCCACCCTCTTTCCGTTCAAGAAGAAGAAAGCCAGGTAAGAGAGCAGAGGCTGAGTGATGGGGAGTGAAGGGCCAATTTAATGAGAAACTACAAACTTGAGACCGGCTACGATTCACAGTGACAGGAGGCCATGCAGTGGCAGTGCAAGACCAGGAGAGGGACAGCAGCAGGATATAGCAGTCCATGTGAGCAAGTTCACAAACAAACCATTCAGGAAATAAAGACAGGTTTGGGCTCGGCCAGGCCAGGGCTGGTGTCCACCAAGGCACCTCTACCACTTGCAGCTTCTCCTCCCTTGTCCCCAGCCTGTTCCCAGCCCAGTGCCACGGCTGCTGATGCTGTGGGGCCCGATGCGAACGGGCACAGCATCGTGAGTCAGCTGTGGGCAAAGGGTGCTCACTGGGAATGGAATTGATGGACAGGGCACAGCAGATCCAAACGCACCCACAAGGAGGCATCTGCTCTCTGCTATCTCCTGACCTGGCTGGGACACTCCAGTCACTGGGCAGAGGTTGCACCCACACAGAGAGGACACAGGGTAGACAGAACAGGTTAGGCTCAAGGGTACTCCTTCTGGCCCCAGCAAATACAGAGGCATGGCCAGAAAGAGGTCCTGCACACTGATTCAGAAGAAGCTGGGCAAGGGTGAGATGTGAGTCCCATCTTGGCTACCAGGGCCCAATCACTCATCCAGTGTCCTCTTTGTCCCATACCAGGCGGCTCTTCGGTATGTGGACAGGGCATTAGAGGTCCTGGGTTTTGATACCTGAGAGTTATGAGGGCCAGAGTTGGCATCATTACTTCTGACTCTCGTACCCCCGCCTCTAGTACCCCAGAGGCGCAAAGTACCCCAGAAAGAAACCCAGGCCTTAGGACCCCATCCTGCTTGGGTCTACTTGACTCCAGACTCCCCTACTCTCAGCCCAGCAGGTCAAAAATGACTGTGGCCCCAGGCACAGCCCCACTACAGGCTCCCAGGCTTGGGAACTGGCTACTGCTCTGGCTGCTTTTGGTCCTAGGGAGAAAGTTGGACCAAACCTATACTTTATGTGGATATGGAGGAATGAAGAACCTGGTGGGAGGCCCTTCTCACCTTATCTTCCTGATCACAAATACCAAGAAAACCAGGGACACACAAATCCAGTGCCAGCTCCCTGCCATCCACTGACACTTGGCCTTAAATCCAACAGAATTTGTGCCGTAGAGTCAGAGGCTCAGGGTAGGGCAAGGTGAAGAGGACAAGACTTCCAGGGGATGGTGGCACAGCTTCCAGCCCAAGTGGGAGCAGGGAGGTGACCACTGAGCTTAGGGAGCAAAGCACAGGGGGCCAGACCAATAGATGGGGGGAGTCCCAAGTCCCGGCTCCGTTAGCACAGGCGCTTATACGTGTAGATGTAGGCTTTGCAGCTGGGGCATGTGTGGGTCACATCCTTGAAGTCGTTGATGAGGCAGGGGATCAAGCAGCAGCCCAGATCACACCTGAAGAAGAGGCAGGGAGAAACGGGGTGAGGCCTGCAGCGCACTGGCATGGTCCCCCACCCCGTGAGCGACCGCACCACCTACCCCATGAAGCAGCAGAAGAAGCCCAGCACGAAGTTCATCAGGCCAATCTCATAGGAGATCTTGGTGGTGATGGCCTGCTGGCAGTGGGGACACACGGTCTGCACCGGTGCACCCTCAAAGATCTCTCCCTGCAGCACTGTCACTGTGGTGGCAGCTCCCGAAGGGACCAGGACCGTGGCCGTGTGGCCCCCAGGGCCAGGGTAGGGCCCCGGCGGGTAGGACCCCGGCGGGTAGTAGCCCATGGGTGGGTGGGGGCCTGGAGGAGGATAGAAACCTGGAACAGCACAGAAGACAGCAGAATGAGGTCACTGGCTTGCTGCCTGCACTGGGCCTCCAGCACCCTCGGTGCAGGGCTAAGGCCTGAAACTTATGCCACCCTCTTCTGGGGACCAGAGTGCCAGCAGGGGGCCTTGAGGCTGGGGCCCTAGGTCAAAGTCACTGTCAATATTATCCCAGCCCTTCCTGGTTCCTGCCCCACAGGGACTAAGACAGACATTGCAGAGAGTCAGGTGACAAGGCCTAGTCTCCTCTTGCTCCCTCACCTCTGACATGCAGGGACTGGGCACTCAGCCTCCAGACCCTTGACCATAGGAGGGAAAGCCTTGCCCCTCACCAGCCCATCCTGTACACGGGGCTCTGCTCTCCACCTGTGCCAGGTCCTGGGGTGCTGAGGACCAGCCCACCTGGCTTGGGCAGCCTGTGCAAGAGCCCTGGGTCCTTCTCCTGCCTGAGCAGTCCCTCTGAAGGAATGCTGGGGAACAGGAGCCCTAAGCCTGCACCCTGAGCTGGAGTCCCTGGCAAGGCACAGCCCCACAGCACCCACTAGTTTTCAGCATGAGCTGCTGAGATTGGGGCCGTCCCTGGAGCCGGCCCTCCTCCAGCATAAGCCCACAGCGCCTGCACAGAGCCCTGTTCTGTGCTGCCTTCTCACATCTACAGTCTATGTCCACACACAGCCTGAGTGCGAGGCTAGGGCTGGTCGGGTGTGTCTGCAGCCCCTGCTGTACAGAAGACACCACAGCTCAGGCTGGGCAGCAGCTAAGACGACCCCTTCCCAACTCACCTGGAGGCATGTAGGCGCCATCTGCGCTTACATGGGGGGGGACGAAGCCTGGCTGGGGCATTGGGTGACCCGGCGGCTCATAGGGTGGGGGACCAATGTCTGCAGGGGGCAGTGGCATGCCTGGTGGGGGCTGCATCACGGCTGGGGAGGTGCGGCCTGGATAGAGAGAAGTGGACACAGGAGGCTCAGCCAGAGTCTCAGCACAGCAGGCTTCACCAGAGACTGCTGCTTGGGGACACAGATGGAGTATGGAATGATAGCTCAGAGGGCCCCAACCGTACCACCTGAGGTGGGAGGGCTGTAGCAGGGACTCTCAGGAGATGATCCCTACCTGGTGTGGGTGGGGCTCCACTTTTCTCTTCCAGAAGGGGGGCGGTAGGGCCCCCAGGATATGGAGGGGGAGGCTCATTAGACATCTTCACTGACTCTCCTGGACCTGGAAGGAAAACCCAGACACGAACTAAGCTCCCAACCAACCTGCTTCCCACTCAGGCACTGGGCTGTGGTGAGGGCCACTGCACGAGTCATGTGACCATCCTCTGAGACACCCTGGGCTCCTACATAAGTCTCCAAGCTCTGGGGATGTCTCACCTTCCCCAGGGGACAGCCCAGCCCGGAGTCACCATCCTCCACACCTCTCAATGGTCACCCACACCTTGTTTAGAAGCCAGAGGGCAAGGACAACCCAGGAGGCAGGGCCCAGTGAGATAAAGTCCCTCCATCCAGCAGTCCCACCTAATCCGGGGCTCCATCTGAGAGCAGTTTGGCACCTAGTCCTCCCCTCCCCTGACATTTGGGGGTACTGAGTGGCCAGAGAGGAGACACTGGGCTGACCTGCCAGAGGCTGGTATGGTTGGGAGAAGGGGATTCTGGGAGACTTCTTACCTCCAATCCCTGGGACTCAGAGCAGGCAGGTGAGGCTCCTTCAGCTGACGGCTTGGACAGACAGGGCACAGGCAGGGCTCTGGGGAGCTGTTCTGGGGGAAGGACAGGTGAGGGCCAACAAGCCAGTGAGGGGCTCAGGCCTGGGCACACGCAGTCCCATCTCCTTCCCCCCATTTGTCTGGCCTCTCCACTGCCACCATCCATGTATCTAACCACTCCCATCCCCCATCCCTGTGCAGTTCTTTGTCTCTCCTCTGAAGGCCCCGGCTGGGCCCTTTGTTTCTCCTCCCCACCAGGCCCTGACAGACCTGCATCCCATACATGAAGGAACAAAGGATGTGATAAGAGCCAGCGTGGGATGGGCTGTGGCTCTGGCCAGTTGCCTTTTTTATTTGGGAGTGGGAAGGAAGAAGATGTCAGTCAAGTGAAACACTTTTCCTCATTTCTTTCACTAAATTTCCTCAGCATTCACTGCTGGGCACTGGGGGAGAGACTGGGAATGGTGGCTGGCCCAGGGGCCTTCAGTCTACTCCAGGGAGTCACTTGCTTTCACTCTCATGTAGCACCATAAAAGACAAGACATTAATAGCATTTTGAAGTGGGATTCAGTTACCTTTTTTTTAGCCAAAAGTAATAAAATAATACAAAATAGAAAAAAGTCTCAACAGTATGAAAGAATACACAGTGAAGTTAGCTTGCCCAGCAGGGCCCCTCCTACAGTCCAGTGTTCTCAGAGTCAGAACTGCACGGGATGGAGGGTGCCAAGTAATTATGCCAGGGGAGAGGGAGCCTGGTGTTCATAAGAACAAATATTAAATGTGACAAATTGGTGGCAGGGCTGGAGGGACCAAGTCCAAGCTCTTGGGTTCAACTATAAAGTAACATGACACCATGAAAAACTGAAGGGAATGGACCAGAGCTGAAACTATAAAACTCTTAGAAGAAAACATAGGCCTATATCTTCATAACCTTAGATTAGGCAATGGTTTCTTAGGTATGACACCAAAAGCTCAAGCAACAAAACAAAAAGGATAAATTGGACATCATCAAAATTAAAAACTTTGGTGCTTCAAAGGACAATACTGAATTTTACAAATCATATATCTGATAAGGGACTTGGTACCTAGAATATATGACAAACTTCTACAACTTAGTAACAAAAAAAACAAATAACCCAATTTTAAAAATGGGCCAAGGATGTGAATAGATATTTCTCGAAAGATAAACAAATGGCCAAAAAGCACATGAAAAGATGCTGAACCTTTTTTCAACGTGGAAATGAAAATCATATTCACAATGAGATATCTAGGAAGATGGCTAAAAAAAAAAAAAAAAACCAACAAGCAAGAGACATTAGAACCTTCATATACTGCTGCAGGGGCAGCCCCTGTGGAAATCAGTCTGGTAATTACTGAGAAGATTAAGCCTGGAGTCATCTTATGACCCAGCAATTCCACCCCTAGGTATCTGCCCACGAGAAATGAAAACACATGTCCACCCAGAAACTTGTACATAAATGTTCAGAGCAGCATTATTCGTAATATCCAAAAAGTGGAAACAACCCTAATGTCCATCAATGGATAAAGGGATAAACAAAATGCGGTCTAGCCACACAATGGAATATTATTCAGACATGAGAAGAATGAGGCACTGACACACACTACAACAAGCATGAACCTGGAAAGCATTATGCTGAGTGAGAAAAGCCATAAAAAAAAACACATGTTGTATGATTCCATTTAAATGAAATGTCCAGAACAGGCAAATCCATAGAGACAGAAGGCAGATTAGCGGTTGCCTGGAGCTGGGGGGAGTGGGTAAATGGAGTTTCCTTTTGGGGTGATGAAAATGTTCTGAAATTGACTGTGGTGATGGTTGAATAATTCTGTGAATATACTAAAAATCACTGAATTGTGCACTTTAAATAGGTGAATTGTAGTGTGTGAATTATGTCAATAAAACTGTTACTGAAGGAAAAGAAAATCACTCAATCCCATCACCCTAATGCAGCCAATCTCTGCAGATCCCTGCCAGTCTGTACACGCAGGCACCTATACTTTTATATAGTTGCTGTCAGGACAGTTTTAAATCCTTTTAACATTGTGTCACATAAAATTCCTCCATCCTGCAAGACTCCATGACCATCAATTTTAATATTCCATAAAACCGGCCTACTTGACCAACCCCTATTAAGGCATTTAGAATACTCAGTTGCTTTCATGAAAAACATGGAACACCTTTGGCTAATATTCTTTCCCTTCCTTGGATTATTTCCTTGGGCTAAACTTGCCAGAAGTGAGATTACTAGGTCAAATGGTTTGAACATTTTATGCCTTTTAATTTTTTTATATTTTTAATTAATTAATATTTTGGCAGCTGGCTGGTACGGGGATCTAACCTCTTGACCTTGGTGTTATCAACACTGTTCTAACCAACTGAGCTAACTGACTTACCCCATTTTATGCCTTTGTAAAAGGATAATGCCAGTTTACAGGGCCAAATTTGTATACTATTGTTATGTGTAATGCTAAAAATGACACTTGGTTATTTTTATATGCATTTCTTTGACCGCTATGAGGCAGAACATCTTTCCAAGTGTTATATATATATATATATATACACACCTGCTCTTGTGAGTTGCCTGCTTATCATCCTTTGAGGACAAGGAAGCTGAGGAGAAGGGACAGGCATAAGTCTAGGACCCTGGCCTGATTCCCCTGCCCCCAGGGAGAATTCCAATAGCACAGGGTTAAGAACAGGGAGCAGCAGCCCTGGGGCCCCTTTCCCAGGCCACTGCCAGCCCACCTGGTACCTCCCTGCCTGGGAGAAAGGCAGCCTTCCTCAAGGGGCTTTACTTGTGTCTGTGGAAAACCACTGCAGTATGCTGAGGTTGGTCAGAACAGGCACCGGCACCTGCCACCAACTCCCATAATATGCCCACCTGGGTGACTGGATGGCACCAATGTCCACCGCTTGGCCCAATGCCATGGTCGTGGTGGCCCCACTCATAAGGGAACCAGACGGGCCCTGGGACACTCTGAGTAGGCTGAGGAGACAAGCTGCCCTGCCTTTGATGAGTTGCTCATGTACCCTCAAACTCCAGCCAGGGTCCTCTAGGTCACTCCACTTGCAGGGAGCACACATACACGCACCTGTGCACATACACATGTGTACACGTGTACACACATACACACCCATCTCCCATCTCTGAGGATGCAGGCATTGCCTTCCTCTGGCCCATCTTTCCATCAAAGTCACTAGACCTAATTCTGCAGTCACCTACAGCACAAAAATTGTATTTCTGAATTCCATACACTTACAGCCTTGCTCATGATGATGGCACAAGCTCAAGGGCAAAGCCCTCCCTTGGTGTCCACCCAACCTTGGAGCAGCGTCTGTACACAGCGCAGATAGTGCCACAGACCACAGGGACGGGCCCGGACCTGCACGAATGCACCAGACCCTGTGCTTCTAGCCCTTTACCTTATTTACCTTAGTTTACCTAGTAAATTTACCTTAGGCTGCTGGGCCCAGTTGCTCCTCAGTGTCTCCCCCACCCACAGCCCTGCCTGCCACTTACTGCACCACCTCACCCCTCCACACCCACACTCACCCTCCTTCCGCGTTCTTGAACTGCAGCAGAGACAGTGGGGCAGATCCTTCCATATGAAGGAGAGGTGTCTGGAAAGTGGCTTATGAAAAGTTCCAGAATTCAAACTCCAATTCCCCCAGTGCCTTCAAGTTTACAACCAGATGTGCATTCCCACAGAACTTATGTTTAAGGTATAATAAAAACCACAAGAATTGCAGCTGGCCACTTAGCTCAGTTGGTTAGAGCGCAGCTTTGTAACACTAAGGTCAAGGGTTTCGTTCCCAGTACTTACTAGTCACCCCCCCAAAAAAACCAAAAAAAATCACCCCACAGGAATAGAATAATCCTTAAAATCACATGATGAAAAGCAAAACACATTTCCAATAAAAATGAACAACAGCTCAAGTTAAGCTACAACATGCAAGTGTCAAATCTGAATATGCAGCTCCAGCAACTTTGCTGTTGGGAATGTGCCTGTAATACTGTTTCTGTTGCTTATAAAAAAATACCTGGAACTGCGTAATGTATAAGAAAACGAAATTTTTTGCTTACAGTTTCAGAGACTGGGAAGTCCAAAGTCCAGGGAACACATCTGGTGGTGGCAACAGTGACCCAGGGGTCTCACATGGCAGAAAATGAAGGAGCAGAGAGAGCGAGCTACTTATGCCCTCTCCTTTTGTAGCCCCCAGAACCACGCCCAAGACCACCATTAAACCATCAACTTAATCACCTCTTCAAGGCCCCACCTTTCAATTACCATAATAGGATTTCCCACCCTCAACAGGTATAATGGGGATCAAGCTTCTCATACATAAAACTTGGGGGACATAATGCAATCCACATCAGTGCTGGTGCACGGGTTACATGAGGCCGAGGAAGTGGCTGCCAGAGCCGTGGCTCTGCCCCACTGGCTCTGGCCAATTCTCAACAGAGCTGGTGGTGGCTTGGGGGTCCAGTGAAGTCCACTTGCAGCCCTAGAAAAGCCAAGACAAGCCCAGAGGCCTGCTAGCCTTCTCTGTTTAGATCTTGTATGTGTGAATTGCAAAAAAATAAATAATTGTCTGAAAACTTTGACAAGTCTATCATAAACTGAACAGCAGCTCCTTTGGGGGACAAGATGCCTTTACATAGTGCGGGTGGCCATCCATATCTGTGGGTTCTGCATTCGTGAATTCGACCAACCATGGATCAAAAATATTCAGAAAGGGCTGGCTGGTTAGCTTACTCAGTAGAGTGCGGTGCTGATAACACCAAAGTCAAGGGTTTAGACCCCCTTACTGGCCAGCTACCAAAAAACAAACAAAAAATTTGAGGGAAAAAATAAAAAATAACAATAAAAAGTAATACAAATAAAAACAGAATATTTATAACTATTTACATAGCATTTACATTGCATTAGACATATAAGTAATCTAGAGATGATTTAAAGTATATGAGAGGTTTGTGTAGGTTATATGCAAATACCAAACCATTTTATCTCAGGGGCTTTGA